TCCCCTCCCCTCCCCTCCCCTCCCCTCCCCTCCCCTCCCCCCTCGTGGGGTTTCTGCTCTGCCACCTGAACGTGTTTCAGCTGCATCCACGTCCCGGGAGGAAGGAGGGGTTTTGTATCCCCCTCTTCCTTTCCAGCCGTAAGGAGGTGAAGCACAGAGGACGAATAGGTGAAGAAAGCTGAGATGGGGCTTAAGCTCCGGTGCTTTTTCAGGGATCCTTTTGTCATAATAACGTTCTTCTACATTCGCAGTCACTTCTGAAGATCCCAAAATAAAAATAGATCTCACCAGCTACTTTGTGAAGAGGCCGCCCGGGGTCTTGCACTGCACCACCAAATACACCGACTTCGGGAAGGCAGCGGGGGCTGAGGATTACGCACAGCAGGAGGTGAGCGCTGCGGCTCCGCTTCCCCGCCTCCCATCCGAGTCCTTCCCTGGCCGGGGCTCTGCGTGCGGTGGGGAGGGGGGGGGGGGGGCAGCTTTGCTCACAGCTGAGAGGGAAACTGCAGGGCTGCGTGCGCCCACGGCCCGCCTGTAGGAACGCGATCAGCACGGGGCAGCCCACGCCTCCTGTCCGCTCCCAGGAGCGCCTCCCTCCGCTGTCGTCTCCCGTAGCGTGGTTTGAATGACAGTAAATCGCAGGTTTACACTTCCGCTTAAATCGCTTCCAAACAGCCCAGGTAAATCGGGGGTCGGGGAAGGACGGCGCTCGCCGTGCAGCTCTGTGTTGTGTTTCAAACGCAGCAAAGCGAGACCTGCGGCAGCCGGGACCCAACGAAGCCGCCCGCGGCGCTCCGACCCCCCCAGCTCCGCTCTGATTCTCCCCCTCTCTCCGCAGGCTGTGAGGGCTTCCTACGGCAAGGGCTTCACTCTGTCCATTTCTGGTCTGTTTGTCACAACCAAAACTGTCGGTGCTCGCGTGGAGCTGAGCGAACAGCAGCTGCTGCTGTGGCCCGGGGACGCCGATAAGATCCAGGCAGCCGACAGCCTCCCGAAGGGCAGCCGCGCTCACATCACCCTCGGCTGCGCCAGCGGCGTCGAAGCCGTGCAAACCGGGCTGGATCTGCTGGAGTTCGTGAAACTGGAAAAGGCGGGGAGCAAAGGGGAGGAAGTGGGGGAAATTGGGGGAGGGAAACTGCAGTATTTTGGTAACGGGATGTGGATGCTCGTCCTGTCTAAAAAGATCGACGTGAGGGCGATTTTCTCGGGTTACTACGGGAAGGGAAAACTGGTGCCTACACAGAGCACCAACAAACGGGGCTCTGCGTTCAGTTCCTGCACCATCATCTAAGAGCACGGGCAGGCGTCGCCCCCGCTGGTTTTTAAAAGGAAAGTAACTCGGTAACCTTTAAAACTGTAAAGAGAAATAATTCTGCCTTTACTAAGCAAGCCCTTCTGCCAACCTCAGACCGAAACATCTCTGGGGAGGCATTTATTGGCCTCGGTAGAAAACAAGCAGCTCCAGGAGAGCTGTCACATAACCCTCGGTAACCAAAGCACTGCTGAGCATTTCTGATGGGAGAGTTTGGGGAGAACCAGCTCTCGTGGGGCCCTGCTTGTTTTCTTCCTCAGAGGAGGATCTCCTGTTGTCTTTTATAACTTCCCTATGAGCCACAATCGTTACATCTGTACACGTCAGCGCTCCACAGCTGAGCGGTGGCAGAACAGAGCCTGTACAGAACTGCTCTGAGGCCCAGTGAGCTGCATAACGGACAGACGGACAAACAGCAGGAGTGCTGCATTCGTGTGAAAACCAGACCCCTTCTGTCCAGTGCAGCAGCTCCCGGCCGCTCTGCCCTTTAGGGGTCGTGCGGCAGCCGCCGGAGCCACGCGTATCCTTCCCCATTGCGCTGCTGGCGCGCAGAGCTTTCAGTGCAGAGAAGGGCTGTGCTGATGGGCTCCACGTCTGTGAGCCAAACACTGCAGACATGGGGAGAAAATCACAGCAAGGAAACAGCTTTGAGGAGCTGCATTCGGTTCCTGTAACGGCTCCAGTTGCTCAGGATGGGCTGCATTCAATTCTGCCAGCACCACCGTCCTGTAGGGAGCAATCCTGCCTTGGCGGGGAATGGAAGAGATGAACTAATGTCTTTTCCATCTTATTTTGTAGACATTAAATCGTATCTGAAATACAGAACTGTACTTCAAGCAAGATTTTACTAGCTTTAGCTAATGCACTGAACGTAGGCTGGAAGTAACACTGTAATTTAGGAAGTAAAGGGAGGTATTGTAACTGCGTAACTCAAGTCTGCTCCAACCCCGATCGTGGGCTGGAGAGAAGTTAATGATCGAGCGCTGCTGTTATTAAGCCTGTTTTATTAAAGCTGATGTTTCTGCTCTTAGATCGTTTGCCAGCCCGCAGACCCGCGCTCACTACTTCATAACACAAATCTCAACTAACAGACCCAGGTCAGGACAGCAGCCCCAACTCCTGCCACGGCTCTGCGCCTGGTGAGCTGCATTGTGCTTAACCCACCGTTAATAAATGTAAACTCTCGCTGTGTTCCCCACCTGTGTGCTGGGTTCATGTCTGTAAAGGGCTCAGCGCTGGGAGAAGCATTCCTCCTCCTCAGAACAGCAGCAAGGAGCGCTATGGGAGAGCACAGGCAGTGCTGTGCGAGTTCAGCAGTGAGAGAAAGCACTGCCTGCTTTGGAGGACGGCAATGGATTCCCATTCTAACGCCACCCAAAGAATCCACGTCTGCACCCTGAGTTCCATCCGCTCCTCCCTTCCCACAGCTGAGCGCAGGCAGCTGCACCAGGAGCGCTGTGAGCCCCGGTCTCCCATCCCACCTCACAGCACGCAGCCAGCAGCTCCTGGCAGCACACAGAGCTGCTCTGCTCCCCCCGCCTGCAGAGCCGCGCTAAGAACAACAGCAACGCCGTCCTCATCGACCTTTTTATTAGTTTGTACATCATATACAGTTTATAATAAAGTAAACCAATTGCATACGGTTTTTGCTTCAGTCTGTGATATTCTCCATATAAACACAGCATTATGAATTATGCCTAATGAAGTAAACAACATATATTCACATTGTTACCGTTCACATCCTAGAAAGGTAAAGGTCCAAAGAGGGATAGCGCTGGCCCCGCTGTGAAGCCGCCCTGGAGAGGCGTTTGGCAAAGCGCTCGGGGTTCGGGTGCTCCATGCAGGACTCCTTTCCTCCCCCAGGAAAGGTTTTACACCGAGGTAAACATTCAGAATTGGGATTTGGATAAATAGGGCGGCCCTCTCCAAGTCGGCTTCACATCAGTCTCTGCTTCTGTCTCGGCTGCTCCGAACCACTTCACAACAAAGCACGTCTGCATGCCGTGAAGCTGCTCGGGCTGCTGCACCCCCAGCGCCGCCTCCCCTGGTTTTCTCCTTTGAAGCAGGAATTTGTACGTGAAAGCGGGGAGCGAGGCAGAGTAACGCAGAAAGGTTGGCTGTGCCAGAGCTGCAGCTGGATCACAAACCCGGGCAGAGGCAGCGCGCACAGCCCCCACAGCCCAGCGCTGCCGCTCTCCCTAACGCAGCTTCGCACTCCGCGCCTCTCAGCGCCCTCACGGCTCCCGCAGAGCTCCCCCATCAGCTCAGCCCAGCACAGGCACGAAGTGCTCAGCGCTGCTCCGGCGATCCCACATCCCCATCCCCTCCCCGGCCGCAGCGGAGCGCATCGCGTCTGAGCCGACACGGCACCGCTCCCGGGAAGCGGCTTCCCCGAGGAATGCCCCGGGTCTCAGCTCCGGGATCGGGGACGCCCCTCGCACGGCTGGGCGCAGCACTGCTGCCACGGAACACACAGAACCTCAGCACTACGGGAGGAACTCAACGGGGGCCGCGCACAGCCGTCCTTTTCCCTACGGGGAGGGGAGGGTACAAGGCACGCGTTTAAAGCCCATCCACTTGAAGACAAGTGAACATCTCAGCTATTAAACCGAGGAAGTGAACTGGAAGGACCGGCAAAGCCCTGCACAGACTTTTGGCCATTCCAGAGCTTTCAGAGTGCCGCAGAGCACAGCCCCCATCGCGAGGCCAGGGCTCTCCTGCTGGGAATGAGCAGAGCGGGCCGCTGCTGCTCTGCATCCCGGATACAGAAAGCTCCGGGGGACTCACAATATTGCACAGCTATTTCACACTGCTGTCCCCAAACCGTCTCCACTCACCCAGTCTGCACTAACGCAAGTATTTACAGAACAGTCAGAAGCCATCAGCACACGAGATCCAGCTTTACAGCAACACTTCCAAGTACACAAACAAAGCCATGTGCTTCCCTAGGTAGCATGGATAGCAGACAAGTGGAAAAGCCTGTCAAAAGGGGCAGCCAGAAGCAGCGGGACGGTTTCCAAAGCCAACTTCAGGTCCAGGGTCAGCACCCCAAAGGGACGCGCAGCGCTCCGTGCAGAAGCTGGAGCTGAAACTGCGTCAGATACAGAAAGCAAATCTCACAGGGAAATGAAATAAATAAACACAGCAGACCCGAGGGCCTGGAGGTCAGCTGTGCACACATGCAAGCATCTCTCAAACACCAACGCAGAGATCTGGAGGTCGCCCCGCGGCACCCACACCTGCAGCACTGCAACACGGGGCGAGGGCGAACCAGGGGGGGCTGCAGGAGGGGCAGAGCCCTTCTTCAGCTCCATCCACACAGCAGCACTCCTCAGAGACGCGTTGGCACTCACCACAGTAATATTTAACTATTTTAAATCATGCATCCACCTACAGTTTCATAAACATCTGCACACTTTCCCTCGCTCAGAGACGAAGCCGTTCCACTGCTGCCCTCTGAGGAACGGCCTCAAACCCAGCTGGGAGAGGAGGGCACAGCAGGGAGGCAGAAACACCAACAGCCATCACAACCAGCGCAGTGCTGAACGCAGCGCGCATCCCTGCGTGCTGACAGAGGGCCGAGCTGTGCAGCAATTGCTGACACACAGGACAACGCACCGCAAAGCCGCAACGTCACGCTGAAATCAGTCCTGCAAGCTGTGACTGCGCAGAGCTGCGGGAGCCAGGAGGTCTCAGTGAGCACAGGCAGCGTTTGGGGTCCCTGCTATTCATCTGAAAACTGCAGGATCTCATTTTGCTCTCAGTGCAACCCGGGTCAATCCATCACCCTGCACCGACACGAAGGACGCTCAGCAAATGTCTGTTTTTACGAATATTACTTCACGTTGGCTCACTGCAAAAGCTGCCTCCAGAGCGATTGTAAAACGCTGCCTTTATTCTGCAGCACTCAAATTGAAGCCCTTAAATCTTCCCTCTGTGAGAGCAGATTGTCAGAAGTTCCGAACAAACCCAACGCACTCAGCAGCACCAACTGCTGAAGTCCAGCCAGCAGCCCAGGGCACGCGCAGCCTCAGCGGGAAGGAAGACAAAGATGTCAGCATCTGAAGGAATCATTCTGTGCAATTAATTGATTGCAATTTTTGCTCCTGCAGTAGAAGCCAAGGCAGAGATGATACAACAGCGTCAGGTTCCTCCTCAGGAAAAGAGCTCGCAGGCAGGAACTTTGCTTTCCCACCCACACCAACCTCAGCTCTGTGCTGCTCAGCCTCAGCTCTCACTGCATGCAGCCCTGCTCAGCCCCTGCAAAGCACAGCACCGCCTGCAGCCCGAGGCTCCCAGCAGCACCCGAGGGCTCAACAGAGCGCCTGTGGCAGAGATCCTCTGCTTTCCAGGGAAGCGGGAAGAGCTGTGGAAGCCGAGCCCTTCCCCAGCAGAGCCCACAGCAGCTGTGCTGAGCGACAGAGCAGCGCCACGCCAACAAAACCACATCCAGCTCCAGGCTGTCAGCTCTGCGCTGCAGCACCCAGCCGAGAGCTCTGCACACGCCGTGCAAGTGAAGCAAGGGGCAGGCTGCCAGCCCAGGGGGGGACTTTGCATTTTCTTGCTCCTTTGGACTATTGACGTTACTATTTGAGAGCCACTCCACTGCTTTGTCATAAGGCAGAGTCCTTGTGACGGTGATGAGAGCGCACTGCTGCACAGGAACCACTTCAGCAATGACCTGAACATCACTTCGCGTCTCTTCAAGGCTAAGAGGAGTTCATCCACACTACGGATCAGCAACACAAAGTCTAACGTGACGATTTCAAACCCAACAGAACCAAGTTCACAGCGCGGCTATGAAGAGTTCAAGTGGATTAATGGAAAGGAAAAAACACACGGTGAAAAAATTCAAGCCCAGAGCAAATCCCACATCGTCTTCAAGAGGAAAATCCTGGCGCAGGACGCGAAGCCCTCAGCCTCAGCTGCACCACAGGCGCTCCCACAGCAGCTGCTCTTTTAAATCCGTTTCTCTCTGACACACAACCGCTCAGCTCACGCGTTACTGACCGAGTCCAAGCGACCGTTCTGGGAGAACCACGGCACAGAAAGGAGACCAGGAGAGCTGGCCGGCGAGATGCGATCGCGTGAGGTCTGAGGGAACGCTGGCAACGTTTTCAGAGAGGTAAGAGAACGGAGAAGCTCCTACAGAGCTGAGATGCTGCCACGCTGTGCTGTGCAGCCAGAACAGAACATGGCAGAATTCCACGAGGACTCCGGGAAATCCTCTGTGCTGAGGAGCAGCCTGAAAGCACGGGCCAGCATGGAGGGACCAACAGATTCAAAGCTTTATTATTTTCTTTTTTAATAAAGTTAACAGTAAAACAAAATCCACAAGCCTTCCCTTCCCCGAGCTGGTTTCCTCTTCACACACAAACGCACACAAACTGAGGTCTCCAACCGAGAGAAATGAAACTGCTCTAAGTACAATGAGACATGATGGAGGAAGGAGTCTAAGTATGTCCGTATTGAAGGCTAAAAGCAGCAGAGCAGGTGTGTGTGTTTTAGCCAAACTGGAAAAAGAAATTCCCAGGCCCAGAAGCTGAAAAAGAAAACAAAAGATGTCAGTTCAAAGAGAGGGCGGTCGAACAGCAGGCTGCAACGGCTCGATGCCAGGCCAGTAACTGAACAAAGCCATCTGGGCAGGTAGGGGAGATCCGACCCACGCATCTCCAGCAGCTGAATCCCAAGAGGTAAGAGTGGACCACTGACAACACAGGCGAGGGAGGCTCTGCAGGCGAGCTGACGAGGACGAAAGCAAATGGTGCAAGAACCATGCAGGACTTCCCCAAACACACAACAAAACCTAACAACGCACAGCTCCTCACATGGCCTAATGACACTGGGAAAGTGCTGAGAGCTGTGCAGCGCTGCATGAAGCCCGACCACAGCTGAGGACTGAAGGGAGCTCAGCAGCACGCTCCTCTCCGTCAGCACAGCAAAGCTGGGGAGCCTCTGCTGCCGGGTGAAGCAATCTGAGCACTTACCAGCTCCAACGCCAGCAGCAGGGCACCTCCACCTACCTTCAAAACTGAAGCCTCCCGGCCCTCCAAAGAAGGCCTTAAATATATTATTTGCATCGAAGTCTGTAGGGAAGAAAAGGAAGCTGTAAGATGAAGAGGAACAGACAGTTGCAGTTTTCAGTTTAGAAACTGGCTCTGAACTGAGAGCCCACACTGCGTTTCACAGAAAGCCATGGACAAGCAGCCTGCTTTGTCCACTGTAAGGGAGCAGCACAGCACACCATGGCACTGTGCTGCACCACAGCACGGGATACATCAGTGGCACAGAACAGGTAAAAGCAACATCTCTCAGGCCTTAACTCACAGAAGCAAGCTAAGGATTTTGGATCAGCCACATTTTGGGACCCACAGAATTTGTGTGATGGATTTGTACACCCTGTGAAGGACAGAAGCTTCTACAGATGGCACCTACTGTCCAACAGCTCAGTCAAGGACAACGTCCACCACACAACCCTGATTACCTGCAGCTCTCGACAGCAACTGCCATTCAAATACTCCCACGGACCAAACAAAGCCCATTTATGGGGTTGTTACAAAAGGGAGGATACCACAAAAACTACCTACCTCCCATGTTCAACCCATCTTCTTCTAGATCCTGTCCACTGTCATAGCGAGCCTTCTTCTTGGGGTCTGACAAGATGGTAAAGGCTTCACCAACCTCCTTGAACTTCTTCTCCTCTTCCTTCTGTACTTCTGCACTCGCCCCACTGTGGCGGTCTAACAACATGAAACCAAGCAGGAAAGAAACTTTAGGTTTCTATTGTGAAAGGGAAGCTGCAGGCAGCCCCAGCTACCACAGGAGGCATTTTAGACGCCCTGGGGTCACATCTGCCCATGCATTCCCCCTCCCCTTTATTCCCAGCTCCCAGTGATGGTTGCGGGCGGCTGTGCAGGAGAATCAGAGCAGCAAGGCATGCTCTGAAAACACCTGGATACCTGGATGATGCATCAGTGCTCTCTTCCTGTAGGCCTTCTTGATCTCATCTTCGGAGGCATTCTTGTCGACCCCAAGGATTTTGTAGTAGTCTTTCCGTTTGCTTTTTTTCAGTTCCATCTGTGCATTCTTTAGAAGCTGTTTGTGTTCTGCAAAGCCCAAGGAAAGCAGCTTCAGTGCATCACACAACGCCCTGCTCCCACAGAGACCGACAGACCAAGACCTGGGGTGGCCTGAGCTGCAGGATTTGGGTGCCACAAGCACCAACCACTTGCATTTCCACTCAGGCAGCTAACTGAAGCTGAACACTGCACCAAAGGCTGTTCCAAACATAGGTGAAATTTCAATGCTACTGAACCAGTATTTGTCAGACAGTGAACCACAACAACTAGAGCTGCTCCGTTTCATTTCAGGCTACTACAAAGGATGAGGACCATATTCAGCAACAAACCATCTGCCTTACTCAGAGGAAACATGCACAGAACACAGACACGTTTACCTTTTGTTTTTTCTGTCTGATAAACCTTTTCATAGTCTCTTACAGCATCTTCATATTGCTCTGTGTCCATGTAACTGTGGGAACAATGATTGCCAAGCTGTACTTCACAGAAAGCATCAAAGAAGGGGCTCAGTCACAACTTTTCTGGGTAGATAGGAATTAAGGGAAACAGATGCATTGGGCTGCAGAAAGAACCTGCAAAGGGTAACAGCTGCTGGAGGCCATGGGAAACCTGGCACAGGAACTCTGGGCTCCAAACCGAGGCTGCCATCTCGCTTGCTGACACACGTTCTACTTTAAAGGCCTTATAATTATTGATCCAACAGCAGGAATTAATGGCAGCCACAACATTTTGAGGAAGCTGGTGCAGAGCTGCACGCTGACAGCCCTGGTCAGAAGTGACAACTTGGGCACCTCAGAGAGGACACTCCTGCCTGCTGGCCTTTCAGCCCCACTCACACACTGACAACTTGCTGTGATTCAGCAGTCCCCATAACAAACCCTGCCTAAACACAACAGACAGGCAGCCCGGACACGTGCAGGCAGGACAGACCACGTGCTTTCCCAACTCCCCAGCACCACACAAAAGAGGTTTGTATGGACCTCTGAAGGCATCGCCTTTTATTCATGTAAGCTTCAGATTTGTTGCCCTGTCACCTATTGCTGTGGGGAGGAGGTTCCCATCTCCAAACCTGCCCAGCACGTCCAAGACAAACACCTACTTACCATTGTGCTCTCCTCAAGTACGCCTTAATATACGTCTCGTCCAGCTTTACTGCGTTCGTGCAGTCATCTATTGCTTCTTCGAGTTTCCTAAGCTACAAGGTCAGACAGAAGTGAATCCCAATCAGAGAAAAGCAGAACTGCTAAACAGCATCAGGATTTCAAGCAAATGAAAGCACGATCTCCTCATTACAAGGAAGGAAACAAACAGGGATGCCTTCACACTGATTAAGATAAGGCCACACTGCATTCCTTCTCCCCCTCCCACTCCAGGCAGCCCAAGCATTTGAGTTTTGTTTCTTTAGGCGTCGATTTCTTCAGCTGCTTGGAGCAGATCCAATTATTGTGCAAGCCCAAGAACGGGAAAACTTGCTGACAGCACTGGATGGCTGCAGCTGCCCCAGGAGAAGTGCATGCTTCTAGCAAGCAACCTGCTGCTTGTCAACTACGTGCTGAGGAACAAGACCTACATGAAAGGTCACCTGCACGATGACCACCTCTTACCTTGGAATTAACCGTCCCCCGGTTGCAGTAGAGTTTGGCATTTGTTTTTATGTTATTAGGATCTATTCCTAGTGCTTCTGTGTACAGTTCATAAGCTAGTTTGTAGTTTCCTTCTTTAAATGCTTTATTCCCATCTTCCTTCTTTGCTTTAAGTGCTTTGGCATTCTGAAAGACAACGCACCGTGGGTAAGGACAGCAGCTGAGCGTTCAGAGGAACCAACACCTCATCTCCCTGGCCAGGACTCCCCAGCTATAGCCATTCCAATCTGCTTCCTGACACCGTTACAGGACACAGCAGTCACAGACTCACGGGGCAGAGAAAGGACTGCTCCAGCAGAAGAGCTTGTTTAAAGCATCAAGCCCTGGCAGTTTCGTGGTCCCAGCCCCAGTGCCCACAACTTACACGGCAGGCTAAACATGCTTTCTCGTGGTCAGGAGCCATTCTGAGTGCCTGGACGAAGAACTGCACTGCCTTCTCAATGCAGTCCTCATAATAAAGGCAGAGGCCGCGGACGTACAGAGCATCTGCGTTCGTCGAGTCCATCCGTAAGATGTCACTGCGACAGACACAGACCGTAAGTCACTACAGCACTCTGCCTGTCATCAGCAGAAGCACTCTTCTCCTGCTGAGATACTGAGGGGATTCATCAGATCTGTGGTAGGGATATAAAACAGTGCATGAAGATGCTCAAGCAAGACTGCTGGATATTAAATAAGCTTAAGAAGAGTTTCCCAGTGTGATGAATTGGAAGAAGGATGAATTCATGTCAGCTTCTTTGTCATCATTTGCATTGAGGATTTTTTCCATCTCCCATTGTTTTAGGCTCTGGGAACAGACAGCATGCAGCACACACCACAGGCTGGTTCACGATTTCAAGACCTTAAAGATGCCTACCTTGCTACAGACTGTGCTTCTGGGTAACGACCCAGCAGTGCTAAACATTCAGCCTTGAGGATTTTGAATCTGTGACAAGCAGGAGCAAACTCCAGAGCACGATCCATGCAAAACACAACCTGATGTGAGAAAAGCAAACATCCAAAGGTTTAGTTTGAAAAACTGCATCATTACCACACGTGAGATTCCCTGTTTGCCTTTGAGCAGGAAGGGAAGGGTGCAGGTTCCTCTTTTCTGCTGGATCCACGTTTCATTCAGAGCAGTTTTTGGTGGTGTTGTTTTTCTTTGCTTTGCTTTGTTCTAAGAAGGGCTTCATGGGGTACGTGGGCCCTGCTTTGTTACCATGACAGAGCACTGGGCAGAAAACTCCAGGAACACCTGTAGTTCAAACCCCTTTAACTCCACTGAAATTGCAGGCCCCAAAGAAAAGGCCAAGGAAGACAATTCTGCCCCTGTTTCCCATGTTACAAAGGAGTGTGGGAGGGACAGAAATGCAACAGACTGGGACAGTTTGGACTGGACAGAACACAAAAAAAGTACAGAGCAGGGACTGATCTTAGACTGCCTGACTGCAGTGGGCAGGGTGATCTAATGGGTCTTTTTCCATCTCTGCCTCTCTGGCAGGGACATCTGCAGGAGAACAGGGCGATTGTTCCACCAAGTTTCATCTGCTTTCCCGGCCTGTGACATCACGATGGGCTGCTGTGGGAAGCACTGTGCTTCAGACTGAGAAGCCAAAGGCAAAGGGTGAGAAAGGAGCAAGAACAGCTCTCCAGAAACAAAGATCACATTTCATGCAGGTCTTCCCAGTGAAGTGAGGGGTAGATGCAAAAGCCCAGAACAGGCAGCACAGGCAGGGTGATTCCACCACATGCAGTCCAGACCGACCCCACACCCCATCTGCTCCTCGTAACAAGGTGGTGCAAAGCTGGAGTTTCTGTTTGTAGAACACTGAGCTTAGCTTAAGAGCCTAACACATCAAACAGCCTCCTTTCCACAGCCCTTACAGGCATCTATGACACAGTTTCATGAGAAGTGTTAAGTGCCTTTCAGATTTCATGCTGTCGCTTCTTGTTGTATGGGGTCAGTAATGGCTGCACCCATTGCTGTCCACAGCAACAAATGTGAGGAGGCTGTACCAGAGAATGCCCAGTGTGGATCTGCATTACTCCTTCACTGACTCACTGTGACACTGACAGGGAGAGCCCAGCTAGGAGGAGGCAGGGGGATGAGATGTGCATCTAACTGACCTGGCCAGGTAAGACAGTCTGCTCACGATGCTGCAGGAAGCCATCAAGTTCATCTTACCTTCCTGAAATCTCGCTTCTCAAAATCCACTTCTGCTATTTTTTCATACTCCAGCACTGTACTGGCATTCTTCAGCTAAAGACAGGAGCACACAGTAAGTGTTTCTTACAGTCATAAGCAAAAACTGTCGCAGACCACAGAACAGGTTAGGTCAATATTTCTGCCAGCATTAAAATCAGTTTGAAGTCAAGTGACCTCACTGGTAGCCCAGGATTACCATCACTCTCCCCTGAAGTGCCGGTGAAAGACCAGCTTAGCCTCCATGCTTTCCTGCCACGACAACCACACACAAATAACTGTGCCACTAATTGGTCCGCTGAGAAGCAGATAAGGAGATCTCAGCACCACCTCATTGCTTCTCGTCGTATCAAGGCACGCAGGCATCACTAACCAGCTCAATCCCTGCCTTTCAGCAGCGCCTCCCTTTCTCACCTCTTGCTGTGCCTGAGTGTTCTTGTGATCCAGTTCTAAAACTCGTTGGAAGCAGCGGCTGGCAGCCATGGCGTTCCCCAGGGAGAGGTGGCACTTCCCTTCCCGCAGGTGGCCCTGGGGAGACCATTAGAAGGGAGCTGCAGGAGCAGACGAGCATTCAGACATACAAGAAATAAGAAGACCTCCACATACCCTTACGAAGCTGTCGTCCAATCTGACAGACTGCTGAGCATCTCCCAGTGCTTCTCGGAATCTCCCCAGCATCATGAGGGTGGCAGCTCTGTTACCATAATAACTGGCATTGTTAGGACAGGTGTCTGGAGGAAATGGGAGAGCACTTGCTGTCAGTGTAATGTAAGCAGCTGGACAACTTGTAGAATGTACTCGAAAGACATTGTGGGTTCCAAAGAACCACATTCCTTCCAATTTATAACGGCACCAAACGGCTTACAAAGATGCACGATGGTTCAGAATAGAAGCCACGAAACCATTGCTTCTCACACTGCACACAGGCTTTAAGCCACACAGAATAGAGGTCTGCAGCACTGAGCCTGACAGCACTGCTGACCCTGCACTAGATGGAAAACTGGATTGGTTTCTTGCTAAAAATATCTTGGATAGAAGAGAAATAAAAGACTGCAGCAAATCACCCACGTTAGCACTGACTTGCATAATCAACCCAGGGAAATTCTGCAAAGTAATTAAACCAACAAAGTTTTCATCCAGTCTGTGCTGTTAGAAACCCTGCTGGTATATCTTAAAATCAGTAACTGGCTTTGATTTTTAGCCATCGTGCTCAGCAGAGCTCATCACCACCGCCACCGCTCTCACCTATGGCTTTTGTGTAATAGTTGTACGCTTCATTGTAATCCTTCTTGGCGTAGTAAGCGTTCCCTTGCTCCTTGAAGGACTCTGCTTCTCTGAAGGAAGAGAAACGAGGAGGAGCATCAGCACACATTCTGACCACAATCAGGTTTGTGACCCCCGAGCGACCTCAGCATCGCCGGCGGTGTTACAGGCACCTGCAGGGCTGACTGCTCGGCTCCAGGAAGGAGCTCAGCGCTGCGCTGGCTCTCAGCTCAGCACCTGACGAGGGCCAAAAACGTGGAAACGGCCACCTTGGCTGAACAGCAAGGAGCACAGCACAGAGCGAACTCACCGTGAGCAGCGCTCTGTCTCAGCGCAGCCGTCTCTGGAGCTGAGCAGCTCAGCTGCACACGGCTGCCCGACAGCTGCTCCACGAGTGCTGCACAGCCTCAGCAGCCAAAGAAGTCAAGAAACTGAGCGCTGACTTTCAGAAGCAGTCCCACATATCTGAGAAACGGGGCCAAGAACAAGTTCTGTGCTCAAAGAACTGAATCAGGGAGGAAGACGGGTGCTTCTCCTTGAGGCTTTGCGTGGCACTGCCTTGGCAACAGGTCCAGAAATAGTCCTCACACTCAAGAACGAGCGTTTGCAGAGACAATTTAGGACATTAAAAACATACAACATATGGTTTAAAGCTGCATCCTTTAAACTCTTGAAAGCAAAGTTTCCTGTAATGGAAATTAAACCCTTCCCCACCTCCTCTTGTCTACCTTCACCATTTTATATAAGCAGCCCAAGACGGAACTCGCACCGCAGTGCTGTGAAGTTTAACTCAGTTTTGATGAGTTCAGTGATATCACTCACTTGCTTCTCCTCAGCCAACTCCAAAGCAGCACGGCCCTCACTAAGGCACAGCATTAATACCTGCATCACACTTCTGAGCCGGCAGATACTGCCTGCCCACTGCCCAAAGCACCTGCATACAAATACATCATGGGAAGTGCAGCTGAAGTTGACCATCACTGAGCAGCTTGCTCCTCACTGACTGCCAGCTGCTCCGAACGAAGCCTTTGCTGAAGTAGACGAGCAGAAGCCAAGGAGGCTGAAAGAGCTGTGCGAGAGCCTGGCCTGGCAGGGCACAGCTCCACTTGCAGGCTCAGACACAGGCTGCTTCCAGGCTGGGCTGGAACGCCAGGCTTCAGCATTTTCTTGTGAGAAGGGCCCAGAAGCGAAGGTGCCTTCACATCACCTACTGCAGCAAAGCTACTGACAGGAATTCCAGCAAACACAACCAAACCAGAGCAGAGCAGTGTGAGTGAAGAGTCGCGTGCTTTTTATGCACAGCTTCCCCACACAAATTCAGAACAACCCTGGAGCATCAATGGATCCCAAGGCTGAGCAGCTTTTGCTCTGCACAAGGTTACCAATACCGGCACTCCATTGATACAAAGCTGCCAGCCTGCACCCCTCCCAGGGACAGACCCACACCAGGGCCTGGGCAGCTCCGCCAGCCCAGCAGTGAGAGAACAAAGGGAAATGTGTTGAAACCAGTTAACATGTTTGTAACCTCGTTCCGGGCTGCCATTGGCCATTCCCACACAACTGCCTCATGCAAAGGGTTGTATGCACAGAAGAGCCACAGTTGTGCCAGCTGGCGGGACAATAGACACAGGGTGCTGCTGCCCAGGGCCTGCGGGGCCACAGCGGGAAATGGCAGCGCGGCACAAACTTGAAGTTTCGCTGCCAGCTGCAGCCAGCGCAGCCCTGCTGCAACTCTGCAGAAGTCAAGCCATGGAAGTGGAACTCTGTGCGTTGGCACGTTGACGGGCAGCAGGAGGTGGAGGAGCAGCGAGGGCTCAGCAGCACCCAACGCTCAGCCCGCACTCCACGAACGGCCAAGGCGGGAGCCGGCGCTGCTCCATGGCTGCGGCAGGAAGGCGCTTACTCAGCAGCCCTGCTCTCCCAGGAGCTGCCATGCGCTCAGTGCTGCTGCCAGCACAGCTCTGGGCTCCTCTGCCGTGAGGGCTGGCAGCAGTTCTGTGCTGGGTGGATTTGTGCTGCTGGTGGTGGGATCCAGACTTTGTAGGACTACAAACGGGCCCCAGAGTGGCGCTTTCTGTTACAGATCACACGTTCATAAGCAGTGCAGGAGAACAGCTAGCAATTCCGCACTACCTTGGCAGCAAGCAGCTTAAACAGAACTTTATTCTAATTTCTGTAATACCAAATGGAGAAGAAAATCACAGATCTCGTTTAAGCTTCACTCAGAAGCTCTCTGTTGTAAGGCCTGTAAAAGGGATGAATGGCACGAATGGAGAACTGACCCTGAGCTGCTCCAGCAGCACACAGCCCACCCGTGTCCCTCAGCAGCATCACCTGCCATCGTCACACTGCCATCAGACACAGCAATAGGTCTGGCTGCTGGAGCTCCGTTGGCCAACACTACTGGGAAGAGTTGGGGAACGGAAGGAGGAAAGCAGATGCGTGGCAAAGCAACCTCCACAAAGCACAGAACTGTGAGAGCAAAGGTGTGAACACAAGAATTACTCATTTCTACTCTTTTCTTGGTCTGTTTCCCTTATAAGCCTTTAGCATAACACAGATCCATACACCAGCAGCTCACCGTGCCTCAACTGGGCAGAGAGGAAATACACGTGGATTTCTATTGCCCACACTGCTTAAAGCCCAATGATGGAAAAAAATCACGAAAGGAAACCCAGAATCTCCCCCAAAGCACAAAGGCAAAGCCAGCTGCTGGAAACGCAAGGCTTGTGGCCTCGGGTCCCAGACACAGAACAGAAGCATCTCTCCCCAGTTGTGCTCCATTGACACAGAAAGCACACTGAGCAAACAGTCCTTGTTTACCACGGTCTCTGGCTACAACAAGAAGAAATGCAGATCTCCTGATATCACTGGTAATTGTTTCAATCCAAACAGATGCTGCAGCCTGAATGAGATCATTCTGCATCTCGCACTGATGTAGGCTGCATTCCCCACTTGCTACTTTTGAAGCTGAAGAAGAATCATGCTTTGCTAAAAATATGATGCAGGCTGAATGGAGCGCTTTGTTCCCAGCGGGCAGAGCCTCCTCAGGGCTCTGTGCAGCCAACACAGAAGACAGGGAAGAGTCGCACCAGGACCTCGGGAAGAAGCTCATCTTTCATTGCGTGCAGGCAGGGCTCACGAGCAGGGGCTGTTTGCTGTAACTCTCCCTACCGGCTCGCCGCCTCTTTCCCCTTTCATAACGCTCGTCACAGCCTCTAATCCTTCCCCCGTCCTCCCGGGAGACCTGCCACATACAGGCAGCAGCCACAGCTCCTATGCTGTAGCAGCACTCTCCTGCCATGCCAAGGCTCCCTGCTCACCGTGCCCTGCTGACAGCTCAGCCCTGCTCTCTCTGCAGGCAGCAGAGCTGTGAGGCACATCCGTCCCATCCCACAGCAGAACCCCACGGCTGCTAACAGCCTCTGCCTCCTCCCCGGCACTGGCAGCCCCCACACCAGTTGCAGCTTCCCCTCCTGCTGCAGCTTGCAGCAAGGAACACACAGACCTGCCTTCCAGCACAGCTCACCTTCCCAAGCCGCCAGGAGCTGTGCAGGAAGCAGCTAGCAGGTCTGGCAGCGCTGGCACAGCCCCCTCCAGTGCTCTGTGCACGCAGGTCGGTGCCTGCAGAGCCGTGCTCTCAGCTCAGGCACACAGCACGTAGCAGGCAGCAGCATCACGGCTGCTCAGCTCAGGAACACCTCTCCTACTTCATCTCCTGCCTCCATTGCAACACACTGACAAAAAAAATACACGGGATTTAAAGGATGCTCTGAAATCCCTGCCAGAAAACATGAGTACTCATGGTCACCAGGGCAGTCTGAAACCACCAAATCCAAGGGAATGGGAATTTTAACTGGGCCAGCTTCTGCCTGCAAGGCGTCCAGAGCCTCACAAACCTATCAGCCCCCATCTCCTTCGGGATGCCCAAAGGGCACAGCTGGCTTCTCTAAGCAATTCTAGCACTTTTCCTTAATAGCACATGGTGCCTCCATCCTGCAGTTCCCCTGTTGGATTCCAGATGAGATTCTCAGCTGTCAGATGTTACTCAGCTGCTTGGATAAAATAAGTTGGGTGATCTCAATACAGCTTACATTGGGCAGATGTCTAGAGCTTAAAATTAGCTGCTGTGTTTCCCACTGGACGTACTGCAGCCTTGCCTCCTTTCAGGGCACAGGACTGAAGCCAGGCAATGAGCGCACGCCTCTTCCAGGCTGGGTTGTACTTTGTAACCGAGGAGCTCCAGTGAAGGGAAGATATATCTATGCTACTCTGAATCTGGCATGAAAGAAGAGCACAGGTGCAATGCCAGCTCGCCAGGTACAAAACACAGAGTCACATAAAACACACCACGACCACCCTCAGCAGATATGCTCACACTGAGCCTGTGGCAGCGGGGGCAAACAGGAAGCAGAGCAGCACAGGGCTGCACACACACATTGCTCTGCACATCAGCACCCCCCACTGAGCGAGCAGTGGGTTTGCACCCAGCTGCAATGCAGCAGTGAGAATGAAGACATTCACATGCAGAATGATTTAGAACCAGGGAAATCTCAAGGCTGCACACACAGACATCCGCTTGGATAGCCTCACCAACTGAAGGGGCTGCCCTAGGACCCAAGGCTTCTGGGAGAGCAGTCAACAGAAAAATCACAGACATTTAGTCCAGAGGGTGCACAAAAAAATCCATGCTGTCCTCTACATACAGCCCAGAGCACAGCCAATACCTGAGGACAAACTCAGCCACAGCAGGGAACAGGAGCACAGGAAGGGGCCAATGCCCCCTGCAGCACTCGGTGTGAACAGCCAGATGAGCCCTGCACGTTAATTACGCAGTTATGTAATGCACCTTGCTAGCAGAGCTCACCATTGACCCACTTCATACCCACAGCACCATTGCTGATGGCAGGGCTGAGTCTCAGCGTTTGTGGGAGCCCACAGGAGGCCCAGGACCACCCTGAGCATTGGCTTCCATGAAGGTCTGGATGCAGGAAACAGCCCGCCTGCATGGTAAGACAACGTGAGTCACCCTAAAAAAGATGATCTGGAGTTCAAAACAGGCTTCAATTCCAAGCACCAAACACCTTTTCCAAGCTGTACACAGAAATTATCTAGTCAGAGTATCCAGATGCTCTGCAAACGCATGGGAGATTAAACGCCGACATGAGGAGCTTCTGCCATTCCTCATATCACCCTAAGATGATAATTACACGTTCACAAAACAGGCTGGATCCACAGCCTGGGAAACTCCAGTGCCCAGTGAGAAGCAGAGCAGGAATCCTGGAACAGCCCATACCCACAGCCAGAGCCCTACAGCCAACAACCCCAGGGCCTGGCAGCGCTCCCTGGAGAGGCGGCCCAGGACGTTCATAATTAGTGGGGCAGCCGACTGGGACGCAGCTAATTTCATGTAAAACAGCAGCAGAAAGAGCCTTCCTGATCATCCACACCTGACAGCCTCCAGGCAACATCTGTCGGACTCATCATGACCCGAATTAAGGCCAGGTCTGGAACCTCCTCTTTGATTTCTGCACAATTTACTTTGCGTGGAAAATTTCACACTCGTTGTTTTATTGAGGTTAATGACGATTTCCTGCAGAGGCATCAACACGTCTGAATTCTGCGGCAAAAGCACCGTGAAAGCAGCACTCCGTCCAGATCATTTCACAATATTTTCCAAATGATTGGAGATACCTCCCAGAAGGGGCTGCCGCATCCTCCAGCGCTGAAGAAAGGGGAGAAGGATCCAGTCCTGAGCACAGCGACGGAACACAGAGCTGCCAGGAGGACGACAAAGAAATGACGCCCAGCAGCACCGCGCTGCTGGATCAGCCGGGCCAGGGGAGGGACGGATCCCAGGGGCCAGAAACCATTTAGGAGAAGAAGGAAGTGACTTCTGGGGACGGATCTCTCCCTGCCTGCAGCGCAGCCCCCACCCAGCAGGAGCTGCAGCTCCCGCACCCCCACCCAGCAGATAAAATTAATGCACTTACATCAACCCTCTTCCATCAGGACCCTCACAATTCATGCTGCTACAGCCAATAATTATCCTATGACCACGCTCTATTCCTGTCCCTTGAGCCACCGGTGAGCGAGCAGTTTGGCATGTTTACAGCTGTTCAGAAATCCTGAGCTCCACTATTACCACTTTTATTTTTATTAAGCCGCAGAGAACAGAACTGCACATTTAGCTTCGTTGCTTAGGGGCTCACCCTTGTCTATCTGTGCTGCAGTTCCTAGAGAGGCACAGAACACAGGAGGCTCGGGGCTGACTTACAGCAGCAGTTCAGTAAGGCCTTTCATTTATTTTTGCTTCTTTCTAACAGAATCTGGCCCAGTCACATCATAAAGCCCACGTTAAATCAGATTCCAAAGAATGCCCGTGCAATTAATGCCAAGTGCCTGCAGAGCCCTTGCGTGGTTCCTGATGTTTTACAAACATTAAGCACCTAATTAAGCCTCCAGCCATCCTCCTTAATTTGGTGACTATCACCCTAATTTGCATTAGATCACTTGAGAGATAGAACTCAAGCAACCACTGCAAGCCCCGAGGGCCGATGCAGAGCAGAGATGCCATCCCCAGGACCCTGCCCTGCTCCACTGGTGCACACAGAACATCACCTCCCGCTCACACACTTCTTGAATCCCAGCAACAGAACACTGTGAAAGCACCATAAAAGCCCAGGATTGCACAGCAGTGCCCATGAGCTGCAGCACCCACCTCATCACGTCAGGAAGTGCCTGGTGACCCAGGCTGGCTCTGCTCCTCGTGGCTGAACCCCTCAGAGCAGGGCAGGGACCAAACCCCCACCCCAGGGCTGCTCCCTGCACCCAGCAAAACTCGGGAAGGAGGAAGGAAGGGTAATTAACGCCAGAGCCTCCAGCACGGCTCTTACATTTGGGTATTTTTAACATTTTGGTTGTCATCTCTAATCAGAGCCAGGGAATGGATCACACCAGCGGGCTTCCCCAGCTCCACATTCTGGCAGTGCTGCACACACAGCACACACGAGTGCCTCCTCAGCAGCTCTTGGTTCCGCTCCTCAATGACATCACCAGGAAGCTCTCTGTCCCAGCACCGCTCCTGGAGCCATCCGTTCCTGACGGCACATTGCAGCACGAAGCACCGCAGGCTCACTCTGAAAATTGCACTCCTCAGAGGACACTTTCAGTTTTGTTTCTCCTGATGATTTCATCGACCAAAGAATGGTAGGGAGCAGCCGCCTCCCTGCAGCAGCAGCAGCTCCCGGGAGGTGACGAACATCCAGACCCACACCGCAGAGCACAGCTGTCAGACGTTCCCCACCGCATCAGAACGCGGCGCGGCAACGGCAGCACCGGGCCCCGAGGAAAGCACGCAGCCCGGGGAGCCCCGCAGCCCGGCCGTCGCTTGACCGGCTGAAGCAGAGCGCTCCAAAACAAGGACGATCAGAACTTTAGGAGTTACTCGGGGATGCTGTTTAACGGCCTCAGAACGACTCTCCCCGCACACAGCGCTGCCGCCCCCAGTGTCGGAAAGCACGGCGGGCAGGGTGCGCAGACGGGGCGCCGCGAGCCGGGCCCGAAGCCGCCTCCCCGCTTCTCAGAGACGGGAAACGGCGCTCCGGGCGCGGCGCTCGAGGCGTCACCCGACCCCGGGACGCCCGGCTCCGCTCCGCGGACGGCAGCGGCCGCCGCTCCCTCGCAGGGGGGCACGGAGCGAACGCGGCGCGGCGGACGCGGCGCACGTACGGCTGGGGGCGGGGCTGACGGAGCCCACCGAGAGCCGCAGCCCCGCGGGACCGGCCCGGCCGCAGCGCCCGCCGCCAACGGAGCGCGCCCCAATGCGGCGGGGTGCGGAGGACGGGAGAGAGCGGACAGGCCGGGCCCAGAGAGGCTCCGCCAAGGCCCCGCAGCCCCCGCTCCTCCCGCCCCGCTCCCGGCCCCCGCCGCCCGCGCTACCTGCGCGCCTCCTCCTCGCTCTCGGGCTCGCCGGGTCCCTCGGGCGCCGCCATGATCACATCGCACTCGGCTGCCGCCGCCATCTTACCGCCGGGCCGGGTGGGGGCGGGGCGGGGCGGGGCGCGCGGGCGCCGGAAAGGCCGGGGCTTCCGGGACGGCGGCGCGGGCTGCCGGGAGCGGGGTGGGGTCGGGTGCCGCGAAGTGCCGCGTTCCGCCGCCGGAGGGCGCTGTGGCGCCGCCCCCCTTCCGCCGCCGCGCAGCTGGGATCCGCCGCGCCGCCCGGCCGCCCCGGCCCGCGTCCCCCGGCGGAGCCCCGCGCGGTGCCGCCCCGGCGCCGTTCGTTGGGCGGATCCCCCGCGCGCGGCTCCGGAGCGGCGCTCAGGCGGCATGGGGAAGAGCTGCAAGGTGGTGGTGTGCGGGCAGGCCGCGGTGGGCAAAACAGCCATCCTGGAGCAGCTGCTGTACGGAAACCACGTGGTCGGTGCGTGCCGGGCCGGGCGCGGGGCTGCGCGGTTCCGGACGCCCCGTCACCCCGCTGTCCGCCCCGCAGGCTCCGAGATGATCGAGACGCAGGAGGACATCTACGTGGGCTCCATCGAGACGGACCGCGGCGTGCGCGAGCAGGTCCGCTTCTACGACACGCGGGGGCTGCGGGACGGCCTGGAGCTGCCCAAGCACTGCTTCTCCTGCACCGACGGCTACGTGCTGGTGTACAGCACCGACAGCAAGGAGTCCTTCAAACGGGTGGAGCTCCTCAAGAAGGAGATCGACAAATGCAAGGACAAGAAGGAGGTGAGCGCTGCTGCCGTCCTTTGGCGGGGGGCTGCTGTGCTGGGCGGCTCTTTGCCCTGATTCCGCGGCTGCTGGGCGGAAGGGCCGGCCGTGAAAGCGGAGACCAGCGATCTGCTGCTTCGGTTGCTCCATAAGGGGCTGTTGGTCTTACTGGTGTTGACTGGGATCTCGGCTGCCCAGGTGGGACTTTTCCTGCAGGGCTCTGCAGTGCTGCATGCGCAGCTGCTCGGTGGGCCCTTCCAGTTTGCGGCTGGTTTGAAACAAACCCAAGCAGAAGGGTGAAACTGCCCAAAGAAAGGTGTTGTGAAAGGGGGAATTGTGCGTGGGCAGGGCCTGGCACTGAAGGCGTTACCAAAGCAGCACTGCTCAGCTCTGCTTTCGTTACCGGCTGGGCTTTTTTCTCCCCTGTTTGTGAACAGGTCACTATTGTGGTTTTGGGCAATAAATGTGACCTGCAGGAGCAGCGCCGGGTGGACCACGACGCAGCCCAGCATTGGGCCAAGGGTGAGAAGGTGAAGCTGTGGGAAGTGTCTGTGGCTGACCGGCGCACGTTGATTGAGCCCTTCATCTACCTGGCCAGTAAGATGACGCAGCCACAAAGCAAGTCTGCTTTTCCCCTGAGCCGCAAGAACAAGGGCAGCGGGTCTGTGGATGGCTGAGCCTCGTCTTGCTCTTCGATGCCACCTCCTGTCCCTCACCTCTCTCCTTCCCTTGCGCGTACCTCCTGCTGAGCCTCTTTGGTGCTATGGAGCCTGCAGGAAGCCTGGTTGCATGAGGAGTGGGCTTCCCAGGGCTGGGGATGGTCTTTGAGGAGGAGAGAGGTGACCCATCTCCCTGTACTGACACAAGAGCTGTTTTCACTGCCCAGGCCCTGCCGGTGTTTAAGGCGCTGCAGGAAAGCCAGGATTCACCAAGTGCACCCCTGCTCTCAGGGCACAGGCTGACACCTGGGGGCTTCATGCTGCCCCCAAGGAGCCCAGCAGCCTGGGATCAGCTTCACATCTGAGTACAGCCAGGCCATAGGAAAAGATTTCCCCCTCTCAAGAGCTGCTCTCTTGTACTGATCCAACATGAGATGAACCCATTTGAGGGCTGTGCCTCCCCAGTCTCCTTGTCTGACCCCAGCTGGCCCTGTGGTGCTGCAGCTTTGTATCAGCAGGTTGCTCCTTACCTGGCCGTGTCCTCTGCACCCCGACATGCAGGAATATTCAGTCCTTGGCCAAGCTGCATGCAGGTGAGCCTCCTGCCCCAGGAAATGCACAGTGCGGAGCAGGGCAAGGTGCTGTTCCTGAGGGCAGGCTCAGCCCCCACATCTCACAGTGCACTGCACACTGCAGTGCTCTTTTGCTGAGGGCAGACCCAGTCCTGACCCGGGAGGCGTGGGGCTGTGCTCGGCCCATGCACACACAGGGGCAGCTCTCACCACCCCACAGTTGTGATGCCTCAGAACCACCATGAGACAAAAGGATGCTGTCCCAGTCCTGCCCAGCAACACTTTGCTCCCTTTGGCAAGTCTGGATCTAGGAAAAAAAAAATGATGAGAAAGCCCTGGCTCGTTTATACTTGTTCCTTTTATTTACTGAGTACCACAATAAAGCGATGAGATTCAATTATCAAAATATTTTCCTTTTTTTTTTCCCCAACAGTTATAGTACATCAAAAATATACAATGAACATTACAGGAGGGGTACTGGCCAAGTCCCTAGAGTCTGTTATTCCATTTTTCTGTGTTCTTTTTTTGTTGTTTTTTTTCTTTTTTGGAATCAAACTTCACATCACTCCAAGGTTATTTACAGAGGGGCATGTCTTACTGAGCGCTATGGACTATGCCCTACTATCTAGCACAGCATATGCTAAGTCAAAGGCAGAAATGCTTTGGATTGCACGGGAGCAGGGAGGGGTTTGTGGAGGCGAAGGGGATGCGATAGAGGCAGGATGTTCTTATGCAGCTCACTGCAGTATTATTGTTATTAGAAGGAATGGCTTTCAAGGGTTAAAGTGCCAAGTGTAGGAGTGTATCAGGACTCCACTGGTGGAGAGGTGACAGGAGCAGCCACTGCTGGCTCCAGCACAGGCTTTTTGAAACGAATTGCAGGGGAAGCAACCCAGTGGTGCCCAGCTGCTCCTGCAGGCTGCAGCACGGCCACCGCTGCAGCCAGAGCTGAGAGGAGGCCTGGAGAAGAGCACAGTGAGGCGGTGGGGGCCTGGGTGGCTGCAGGCTGCTTGGCACTGAGATGCTGTCAGAGCCACATCCTCCTGCTGCCTGTGGGCCCCAGCCAGCCCCCGTCCTGTCCTGGGAGATGTGGGGTTGTCTCCTGGTCTGGGCCACACGTGTCCCCCAGGCTGGTGGGCCCCGCTCCATGTCCCTGCTGAGGCCACTGCTGCAGTAGCCTTCTACCCGCAGCTGCTCTCTTAAGCAGGCCTCCCCGCCACCTCAGGACCTTGTGGCTACTCTGATCTTTCCATACATGATCCCCCCTCCCTTGGTGCCCTCTCTCCCTGTCCTTCCCTGAGGTAGAGGGAGATGCCCTGAGCAGATAAATCCATACCCACATGCTCGTTTGTACTCTTCTGCACGGAAAACACAGCAGCAGCACTCCATGGTTGAGCACTGCCCATGGTGTGAGCAGAATGCCTTCTGGATGTGGGAGCTGAGCTCTGTGCCAGCGGGACCCAGCGGCTGCTCCCTCTATGCAGTGGTCCCTGCTGTCACCCGAGGTTCCCAGCTCTGGGAACAGAAGCATTAGGTGGCAGCAGGTCCCCGTACGCCTCCAAGACCTCATCCTGAGCACTGGTGGTGCACACTGGGCAAAATCCTCCTGAAATCCATGTGTTGCTTATGGCCAAGACGTCAGATATGTGCGCTTGTGTGTGTGGATTCCCAGATGTGCAAAACCACCTCATCCCAAGGGCTGGGCAAGAACACAGCCACGTGCCGGGATGCTGCAGAGGTCTCTGTGCCAGCACCCGGCCTGGGAATGGGAGGGGACAGCACGGCAGAGGAACCACCTGCACAGAGCTGAGTGTTGCTTTGTGTCCTTTCTGCTCCAAACAACACCCCCAGCCCTACAGACTGAGCACCAAAAATGTAGACAGCAAACGAGCCAGCTGCTCCCGTGGGATTGCATAGATCGGGGTGGGTCGTCACTCCGGCATGAGGTCCATTTGGGTTGTGACTTTCCTGCAGGTTTCTATTTACAGCAGCACTGGGAACGCAGAGAGCTGCAGATACAGTTTTCAGACCAGGTCCTCGCTGGGCCTTCTGAGCACAGTGAAAAGAGAGCATCTGAGGGAGGCTGGCAGTGCCTGCTCCTTCCTCCCTGATTGTCTGGGCTGCCAGGATGCCTTCGCTTGGCAGAGTCACAAACTCCTTGGAAGCTCCTAATGGGGATGGGGTGGATGGTGAGCAACGACAGCGCCTTCCTCTGGAGAACCAAAAGTGCTTTGGGGACATTCACGAAGCCTCACAGCATCTCCCCTGAGGTAGGGGCGGGATTGTCCCCCCAGGGGTGGGACTGAGGTGCAGGGCTCAGAGCACAGCGTCCCCTCCTTCCCACCTCAGGGAGCGCAAACCAGATGGGAGCAGAGCCTGTGCCCAAATTCTGTGCTTCTCAGGATGCCTGGGAGAAAGGCTGTGTGCTTTCAGAGGGCAGAGGAGGGAGTCCCAGGCTTTGCCTATTGCTCTCGGAGTGAGGATGTGACCACCATGGCCGATGGCTCTTTGGCGTGGGACAGATGAGACCAGCGGGGACCAGGGCTGCTCCACCCCCGGGGGACCAGCCAGCTCCTCTCCTCTCCTCTCGATCTGGGAACTGGGAGGCAGACAAGAAGCACAGCAAGGTCCTGGTGGCTCCAGCACCATCCTCACCCCACGTGGCCCAACCGCTGCGGGGCCAGCATGGGCGGGGGGAGCGGCAGGGGGGGGCACGGTGGGGCTGGGCTCCGGCGGAGCGTCGCACACCAACGGGAGCCAGCTGGAAGCAAAGGGGAAGCCTGGGTCGATGCCTACTGCTACGGTTTCCCATCAGCCAGGAGAGCAGTCGGTGCCCCGTGCAGCCCCATGGCACGGCCGATGGACCCCGGCGAGTGGCTCTAATAGGGTGCAAAGACGATGGGGCCCGGCGTGGTGCGGACGTGGGCTGGAGGCGTTCGGAATAGGGCTGGTCCGAGGATCGGGGCTTGGAAGAGCGTGGTGGCAGCAGCTGGGCGCAGGGCGAGAGGCCCAGGCATGGCGCACACAGCCGTGGTGAGCGGGCTGGGCAGGAAGCGCGTCGCCAGCGTCTTGGTGAGGTGCTTCTGCAGAGCCAGCTTGGAC